GATGAACTATAATGAATAAATGAAAATATCTTTAAGTTAAATTGGTAATAACAACCATTTCCGACAACCCACTTTTTTTTGTGAGGGGGGATGACTCGGGTGACTACTAACAATTTTATTTTCTTACACCTTCCAGTTGGATTGGCATAACTTTTGTGCGTTTGAGCTAATTTTAATGAAGTAAAGTTATTAAAATGTGTGAATGAATGAAGCAGTATTGGGCTAAACCACTATGTGTTTGAGTTTTACATTAAAAAGTAATAAGCAATTAACGTGCATACCGATGAAAAATTAAATGCGTTACCGGTCACAAGATTCTAAATGCTGCAAATATGGTATTCACATGTTTGGAAAAATATGTGCTCTACGTCACCGATAATTTAAATACTATTATTAGGAAACAGTGACGTACAACGCAAAAAAACGACACCCTGGCTATGCCGTATAGCTATATTGCAGCTCAAGTTTTTCCGTGATTTTTCGACTGCGCAGAAGGGATGCGCGTGCGTCTTTTAAAATACCTAGACTTAGGCTTAGACTCTCAGAAATGTAGACTTTGACTTATACTTATAATTATAATATATAAGATACAAGCAATAATACTAATAATAGCACTAATACTAATACTATTGCTATCATCAATTTCAATATTAATTAAAATTAATTCAATTAAAATTTTACGTTAAACACATTCAAAGTTCTAGTTCGAAACAACCCGTCATGCAGCTGATTACGCATCATACTTTTTTTAAAATTGCCAAACAAGCGATAATAAACCTTATTTGGCTAAATTCCTAGCCGACTGCGTATAACCCTGAGAGTTATACGCAGTCGGCTGTGAATAACCCTCAGAGTTATACGCAGCCGACTGCGTATAACGCTTCCCTTTTGGAAAAGTGATTTTGAATTTAATATTTAACAAAAAGATGTCAAGGATGTACTTTTACTCAGTGCTTCTTTACATTTAAATGACTTACAGGCTTTGACTTTGCAATCGTTTTGACACTCAATAACTACAGCTAGTCGTTGAGGGGATATATTGTTCAATTTTTAGAACCCACAAAACAGCTCTATTTCTATCCCTTGAACTAAAAATATATTTCAATATTTCAAATGTAGATACTTCGATGAAACAAGGGAGACTACTATTTTTTTGTATCGGAAATGGGCGTCGGCGCCGAAAAATCCGAGTTTTTAATTTTCCGATGTGTGTCTCTATTTATTATTAAATTACTTCTTTCCACATATATTTGAGTTCCGTTTCCGGCCTTATAATTTGGAGGACATCTTGGCCTACATTTCTAGCCATCTATTTTGCTTTTTTCAATCGACCTTTATTTTGAAAATCTTTGGTATATATAAGGCATCTTCGCATACAAAATTTTTTGTGAAATAATAAGATAAGGTCCTTTTTTATTAAATCTGTATGAGCATTAGATATTGATCTATATCTGTGCCAAGTTTCATTGATGTAGGTCGTGTCTCACGTTTGTTACACTTGTCACAGTGACCCATACCACCATAAGGTGGCTCAGCCTAATTTCGACATGGC